TTTCTGTGTCAATGTTTTGATTATAAAAGCATCATAGCGGTCCCCCCCCCAATTTATTGGTTTCTTTTGATTTTACGGAAGCTCACTGGGAAGTTATGCTTTATTAAATTTTTCTTAACATACTAATACTTGGGGTTTTTCTTAATTTAGTTCTTAATACCAAGTAATTATATTTTATTGATATGCTTTTCTTAGTATTTTGTTTCTCTTTAATATTATTTTATTCTCTTTCTACCATTTTAAGGACTGCACTTGAACTCTTTTTACACACTTCACATATCTATTTTATCTTTTCCTTTGGGTCTTAATTTTCTTGATAACTTTATAATTTTGGATTTGTATAAAACATTGGATCAGTGACTGTAATAAACTTGAACTCATGGGAATAAATTTTGTATTCTATTTTTTTTTGTTTTGTTTTTCACATAATTTTATTAAAAGCTTTAAAAATAGCAATAAAAAATAGAAGCTAAAAGAAAGAGAAAAGAAAAAAGGTGCAAGAAAGCAAAACAAAACAAAACAAAAACTCCCCCCAAGAAAATAACTTCCCACCCTCATCATGATAAGTATAAACAATTCCATAATCTCTTCACCTCCTATTGTTTAACGAATATAAAACTCTTCATCCGATAACCCATCTCTTAACAGTAGGCAAATCATTTAAGTTAACGTCCTCTCCAATTCATTTATCAAGAAGACATCCAAACAGAGCTCTAAAATATTAACATTAATATATATAAAACTGAACATTCCACAACTCATAGCTACAACAAAGTCCCATTTAAAAAGTATAAAATGGTCCCAATATCTTAATGTAAAAAACAAACCAAGGTTTAACATTACAAAAAGAGACCATTTCTCCTTTACAAAAGACAAACTCCAATACACAACACTTTTCCCATTCCAAATGCCAACAGTTCCCAAAAAGAAATCCATCCCAAATAACAACTTATACCATTCAGATAAACATTCTATATCTTAACTCTAAACTGTAAATAAATCCACATTTCACAATATAAATTAATCCCAGTATCTCAATACAAACAAAAGACTAAAATTTTACATAAGAAAGAGAAATTATTTTTCCTTTATAGAGAAAAGTTCACCAAACTTCTTTACTTTAAATAAAAAGACAGTTAAATACAAAGCCTGTTTAAGTACTATAAAGTTAAGATACATAAAGTCACTATAAGGGAAAAGGCTATATCATCTTATAAAATTTAAGCAAATCCAGTATATATCACATTTTCCTATTTAGATATCAGTAAATCCGAAAAGGAGAGCCAGTTTGGTGTAGTGGTTAAGGCATCAGGTTAGAAACTGGGAGACTATGAATTCTAGTCCTGCCTTAGGCACAAAGCCAGCTGGGTGGCCTTGGGCCAGTCACTTTCTCTTAGCCCTAGAAAGGAGGCAATGGCAAGCCACTTCTGAAAAAACCTTGCCAAGAAAACTGCAGGGACTTATCCAGGCAGTCTCCGAGAATTGGATATAACTGAATGGATGGGGGGAAAAAAATCCAAAAAGAGCCACCCCAAATAACATGTCCCATGTTATCCCTGGTCAAATAATCCAACTTTATACTCCTTTTTTGTTCTGTGCAGAACAATTTTTCTCTATAACCCATTCAGATAGTAGTTGTTCCTTGTTACAAATTTCTTCAGTACTTTAAACAGTCTCTTTTATGAATCCAACAAAAAGAAATTATTCCAATTGCTCTCTGTGATTGTCATTTTTATCTCCTTAATTTTTAAAAAGTCATCCAGTTTTCTCTTTATATCTGATGACAAGTTCTTATTCAGGGTTTTGTTCATATTTTTCTCTGGTAAATTTTGCTGCATATCTTGTTCTGTGACCTCTTCTTCTGGGAACAAATGGTTTCCAAAAAGACAAAATGTAGCTGACATAATTGAATCAAATTCCTGGCCCAGATCTCAGTGCAGTCCCTCAAAGTTGTCTCTGAACCCCTTTTTAAATTACTTGCCTTGTTATGTCTCCAATTTCAAAAATATTTTTTCTTTCCTGCATGCATGCATTCTTTAAAAATTATTTCAAAGTCTTAATAATCAGTATTCATTATTTCGATGTTTTCTGAGCCCTTAACCCATTTAAAACTTTCTGTAGCCAAAGCCTTATCTTGCTTTTTGCTGTTTAAGTTCTTAAGAATTGTAAAAATAGGTCTTCGTATTCTTATGTTGAGGAATGAAAGGCCTCACTGGGTATTTCCAGCCTTGTCACTTTGCAGGTGTCTTCTTCTTTGAAGCAGTTAATAGGCAATTCCAAAGGTAGCAAAGGAAGTGAATGAACTTAATGTCCTTTGAAAAGGCTCCAGTTTGTGGCTAGAGCAATTACGGAGAATTCCCCCATCTCCTGATTCTCCCCCCCTCCAGAAACCGCTGTCTTTCAGCCTCTGTGTGGAGAAACAGCTTGGGTGATCTCGTGTCTCTCTTTTATCCAAAGTGGATCATAGGAACTAATCTATTAATCAGCTCCTTAATAAAGTCTGCAAACATCAGCATTGCTTTCTGCAGAGCTGTTTTCAGTCTGCCATCTTTCCCAGAAGTTGGAATAAATTTTGTATTCTAAAGCATAATGGAATTATGAAGGCCAGGCTCAGGGAGATAAGCGTTTTCTTAGTTCCCACGCTCTTTCAGTGAACTAAGAAAACGCTTATCTCTCTGAGCCTGGCCTTCATAATTCCATTCCATCACAGCATCCACTCTTTGAAACCTTCTGTCTGCTTCTATACTACTGTAGATGTGGTAAAGCAAAATGCTAATGTGCTGAGGGAATAGAATATAGATCAGTGATGGTGAACCTGTGACACGCATGTCAAAGGTGACATGCCAAGACATTTTGGGTGACACGCCAGCATTCACCAACACCTGACAACAACTATTCTCCCTGTTTGAGTTACCAAAGAAACTGAGTTTTTTTTACTTGAGTTACCAAAGAAACTGAGTTTTTTTTACTACGCCAGCATTCACCAACACCTGACAACAACTATTCTCCCTGTTTGAGTTACCAAAGAAACTGAGTTTTTTTTACTTGTGAAATAATTACAAAAATGAAATACATTTCTTTATATAATACATAGCCTCACACATGATTGGACTGTGTTTTTTTAAAAATAAATGAATATGTAAAGAATTGTTTCTCTTTTGTTTGGTGGGGTGGGACATGCTAGCAGAGTCAAGTTAGGCATTTTCCGAATTTTTGACACGCCGAGCCCAAAAGGTTCACCATCACTGATATAGACTAAGCCACTTCAGACTCTAAGTTCACCATCTGTAAGATACTCCCTGCAAGAGGAAATCTACATTGCAAGCAAAAGTTTGAGTTAGAATTCCTCCTATAATGAGCACTTCCTGTTCTTCATGAAATTTCTTAAATATGGATTGGGGTGGGTGTATAAGCTAGGTTCTAGTTCTTCATTCTGCTCTATGTGAACGAATGCCGCACATAGAAAGCAAGTGAATAAGATACCCCTCTCCCCCAAATATAAAGATAGCAAAGGCAGGAATTCATACTCTTTTTTTGATCTGGTCTTATTTGTAAGTAAAGCTATCTGCAGATCAGTAGACATAAAGTTTCTGTGTATAGGGCATGCAAGATTTAGGCTGGATTTGGAAGAAGCTTGTGAGAAGCAGTTTAGATAGTGTGACCTTGATGGTGACCTAAAAAGTGTCTCTATGGGTGGGAACTGGTTTCATCTTCCCTTCTTGTATGTGGACTATTAACATTGGATTACGTTACAAATCTCTGTCAGCCAGATTCTGTTCCATCCTCTTTCAATAGGAAGATATTAGACTGTAATACAATGGAATGTGAAAGGGAAGGACTATTTTAAAATACATAAACAGAAACTCAAAATAATTGTTCACTTGAAATAAGATCCTTATTTCTCAATCTTCCCTATTGTGGAGATATAAATAAACCAAAAGGTGTTTAGTTCCCTGATTAGAACTTGCATTCATGAACTGGAGGAGGTAATCTTGTACTGCCTGTAACTAAACATTTTATGAGTAAATTTGCCAAGACATATTGAGTAGAACTGTGGGACTTTGACATGCATTCCTTAGACATAATCCACTCTCTATATGAAAGATTTCTTTGTATATCCTTAGATATGCCTAACTTTTGCACTTTCATGCAAAGTCCCAGGTGCTCTGAATTGGCTCCTGCTGCAGATTGTATCAGTCCATCATCAGTTTTCAGTCATTGCTGCTTGTAGTACTATGACTTTAATAAAGGGGACCATTCAAAGTCCAGCTGCTCTTCGAAAGTTTATCCAGAAACTACTTCTAACAACTAAGGGAATCATTTGCAAACAAGACATAAAACATTTTAATTCATTGATAAGACCCCCTGTCATAGTTTCATTCTAGTCGATTGAAATTCACAGATCTTTGGATTGTTCTGATTTGTTCTGATCTTTGCTATGATTAGGTATGTCCAGCATAGGGCTCTAATACAGAGACAGCTGAAAAAATAGTAAGCTGGAATATTGTGCAATAGAGATGGCCAGATTAACTATTATGAAGGACCATGATAAAATATATTTTGATTGTTTTCATATTTACATTATGAAGTATTTTATATTTTCCCTTAAGCTCGACAAAGTTGTAAGATTAAAAAATATACTAGTTTGATGGGCTGCACTTTATCTTAGGCAAAATTTTTGCCACACCTTATGTACATTATGATACTCATTGATAAACAAAACTGCTGTAATTTATGATTGCTGTTATCTCTTTTATTAGCTACTTCTATTTAACAGAGTAATGCAGGATGGGATTTTATTTTTTAAATATTATATAGCTTTCTGTTGAGATGAACAATTTTTCACTGTATAGATTCCATACAAAAGGCATTTATACCTAAGTTTTGGTCTATGAATTCTGACCTTGTCATTTTTTCAGCTTACATGGACAAAGTATTATGAAAAATATTCCTGACTATCTGCCTTTCTGTTAATATACATAGAATTTGTTTGTTTTCAGGCAATGGAATATAAAGGTTGGGCAGATTCTCTCTTCCTTGCACAGTTTACACTCTCCTGTGTAATGGGGTAAGAATACTTTATTTTTGTCTTCCCCAATTTTTCTCCAAAATGTATTAACATTGTTTTTCTGGCAACCTTATTGGTCACTGTATGCAGTTCTCTGTTATGATCAAATGCAGTGGGTTAGATACAGCATCAGAAAACAATTGTTGTTGATATACATAATGCACATTTCAATAGCTTTGAACTCCAACACTCTTTTACAGTTGCAAAAGGAGGCAATGCCAGATTCCAATACATCCCTTGGAATGTATTCTGGATTGTTTTTATTAGAATTCTTCTAGACTAAATCTAGAGTGAAATTATAAGCTTGAAAGTTCCTTCCTCCTTAATAAATTTGTGTTAGGTGAACTAAGTACCCTCTCTGTTTTACAAATAGAAATGCCTTGCCTCATCAAGTTCAAAAGTGGATAACTTTTTTTTCTTTCTCTTTGAGTAGTGCCTTCAAGGACACAGCCATTCCTTCAGGGACATCACTGAGAAACAGAAATGCTATTCGTTGGGGGTGGGTGGGTTAAAATTTTAGGAACAGTCTCAAAAGCAAAATGGATGTGTTAAGCTTGAAAAACTTGGTTTGGTTCTTATTTCATAATAAAAGCATGGATAATCACATAGTTGAAAATTGGGAGTTTTGCTGCTGCATCAAATTACATGAAGTGATTTGGGGGTCTGCAGGGCATCCCAAAAGAGAGTCTATGAGCTACTCACCCAATATTGTTAAACATTCTTGCCAGAATATCAGGAATTAGCAGGTATCACATGGTTTCCCAGAAACTAATTACTGATCTCTCTTCTGCACACTTCTGCGTTATACTAAATTCATTGTCAAAATGTTGTGTTTATCTTATATAGGTTTATTCTGATGTATTCAACAGTACTTTGCACTCAGTATAACTCTGCCCTTACAACTACAATAGTTGGTTGTATTAAGGTAAGCTCTTTAAATTTGTAGAACTGATAAATAATTGTATGACCCCATCTTGCAATTTTTCTTGGAAAAATAGGCACAATTCAGCCATGCTTTGTGTGTTTTCATACCTTTTTTTGGTACATATTGTACTTCCTGATGGGAAAGAAAGATATTGTATTACCTTGGTATATAGAAAAGCCTGTGTCCCAAATTGGTCTGTGTGTATGTGAGAGAGAAATGGTAGCTTTTAACAAATCCAAATATGTGTGGGAAAAGCTAAGCCTGACAGATCGAGGTGGTGTGGTAAAACTTAGATAAAAGAATAAAGCTCTGGGATTTCATGCAATCTCTTAATTTTAACTACTTAAATCTAATTTTTAAAGTAATCAGATCACATATGTCTCTTTTAATGCTGGGACAGCATCTGTATGTGATCTTTTTCCTCTCATCGTTTTATAAATACTTTAAAATATTATGGCAATTTATGAACATAACATCCTTCTGTCTGAGAAGTCTACTTAAATACTCTGCTTAAAAAGTTAAATTCTGTTTATTTCTTTACTTCCAGAATATATTAATAACTTACATAGGAATGTTCTTTGGAGGAGATTATATTTTCACATGGACAAACTTTGTAGGATTAAATATTAGGTAAGTAAAGTATCTCCCTTTTAAAAAGCAAATGGACAGATTGTGCAAGTTTATTGTGGAGTTTGTGGCTAGATGCTTTTAGTGGCTTTCCTAGAGTCAGTAAGCTGGAAATCAGCCCTGTGGAACTTGGAAATAGATTACATTGAAGGACCTGTTAAGATTTATATTGTGAGGTACTTTTCACATATTGCTACACATTTTGGGAGCTGCAGATTAAAGGGCGGGGGAAAAAAGCTATCAACATTTATGCAACAAGAAAATGCAATGTATTCTAATATACTGTTATACTGCATAGTAAAGGGCAGGCTTGAATATGTCGGAGTGCTTTGTTGTCTGAATGACATAGTTTAGGCTTTTTGGGGGGGGCTTCTGGGATTATTTAATTATTTAACTGCTCAGGTAATGATATTTGTTTTTTTTTAAATTGGTATATCAGTTTTAAGTTTGCTGACACAGGAGACTGTTTTTCCTGCTATGGGTTTCTGTTACCTCAAGAGGTATACCTGTTCAGAGATGATGTAATTCAAAGATATAGTGAAAACCAATTAATTACATATATATCATTTGGGGACTGTAATTAACATTGTTTAAATTACTCAGACTGATCTTATTTTGGTTAGAATAGGAGCCTTATAAGGTCAATCTATTCACTAAATTATTTTCTGAACAGAAGCACAACTAAGAAATTAAAAATATATACAGAAAGAAAATGGAAGACTGAATTTAGGAAAATCATCATACGTAGTTTAAAACACAATTCTGATAAAATTGCATTTTCTATATTATCAAGTGCAAGTATTAAAATATAGATGGAATTTTTTATTGTGGCTGATGTGGGTCTTCCGGGCTGTGTGGCTGTGTTCTGGACACAGGACATGGCCACACAGCCCAGAAGACCACACATCAGCCATCGTATTCCGGCCGTGAAAGCCTTCAACAATACATTGAAGTTTTTATTATTTTTTTTTATTGGCTATTTATAGGTGGCCCTTAATATTGTCTTTCCTTCTAGTATTCCTAGGGTCTTGAATGGGAACCACTTTTATGAGAATATTGGTAGGAATAAAGCAAATTTAAGGCGTAGGTATCCATAACAAGCTATGATGGGGTGAAAAAAGTTACATGTGTCACGACATTGTTAGACAAATGATGCAATTAGGTACTTGCATCACAGCATCTGACCAAAATAGGAAAGTCATTGAACATGTTGTCATCTGACCCCCTGCAGATGCCAGTGATTTGAGGTAAGATTATTTAGTACAGAAGAGAACTTTTGGGTTTCAAAGGCATATTTAGCTATTTTTAGGAGTACATCTGGCAGCAGTCACCTGAGTATACAGGTAACTCCCCAAAACCCCTCTCACAACATTCTATCCATCACCATATCCACAATGTAGGAGGAATTAAAATAATTCCACTTTTGTTAATATGGCCCAAATAAAATGTCGTTTTCAGCAGTTTCTCTGTAGGAAGAAATTCAGACTGGACTTGCTGATTAGTTGATGGTGTGGGGTGAGGAGAGTCACAGGCCACAAGGTATCTGGCTGAGGGACACAAAAGAATTTAGTGAGGGCCCTGCGGGTGTCCACGGCTGCTACAATACTGACCACCAGTTTAATATCACTTCATGAAGAAGTTTGTTTTTTGTTAACTCTAAATGCTGATGTTTTGCAGTATTGCTGGAAGCCTGGTATATTCCTACATCACCTTTACAGAAGAACAAATGAGTAAACAGCCTGAAGCTAGCATCAAGATGGACATTAAAGGGAAAAGCTCTGTATGACAAAAGACATACTTACCAGAGTAACTCTTGCTTTTTAACGAGATGTGCTGACAAATCAGTGTCATATGCAGTCTTTGTGAATGGAACTGGGTGGCTACTTTGTATTTGCACAATCAGAAGATTGCCACATTTGGAATCAACTATTTATACTGGACTGCATAGATTGCATTTAGGTTGCAAGGAATTTCATATGTGTGTGTGCGTGCGTGTATGTGTATTAATAATCTCAAATGCAGTAAAAGTATTGCTAGTTAGGATTGGGTGCAGCAAGAAAATGTATCACTGAAATCAAACAAGCCTATTCAAACTCTCATGGCTTGTTGAACCCTCCAACTTTAACTGCATTTTCCTTGAAATCATGCAATCTGTATAAATGAAGTGTGGTTCCTACATCTCTCTGCCTGAAGCTGTGTATAAGTGATGAGAGGATATTCTGAGGCGCAGTTTGTGGGGAAGATGGACCTATTCCCACAATCAACAGAAAATGTTATCCAAACAAATTTGGGCCTTGTTGATGTCCCACTGATTTTTTTTTTCCTGAACCTAATGAAGCACTTTTAAGTGTGTGTTACACATTGTTTGTGTATCTTGGCCAGAATTATTATTTTTAAGGCCTCATAGACTGATCAGTAGCTGTTACAGATTAGGAATAGATAAATGTTCTAAAGAACAAGCTTTTAAACACCGGTTCTCATGGAGAAATGAGAAAAGCAAGCTACAGTGCTAAAATATGTGTGGGGTTTTTTCTTCCCAGTAACAGGCTTTCTTTTATTTAGTTAACTTTTTTCTATGCAACTGGTGTGCTTTTTTTAAAAAAAAATCTCATCATTGGTTTCTTTTTTTAAAGTTCATAGCTTCTTAAAAGACTGTTACAAATGAGAGTTTGCAACTCTGTGATTTAAGTGTTTTGAAATGCCCATTTCATTTCTGAAGAAAATAGTTTTGCAAACATTTATTGAAACTGTTTGTACATAGAAAAGCATGTTGCTGGAAGTTCTTCCTACTTATGCCCCCAGTGTATCATTTCAGCTGTGGTTTTTCAACCCTAGTTCCCTTTTTGAAATGGGTTCGCATATCATGCTAAACCAACAAACAGGCCCCTTTCATTTTGAAGAGAGTGATGCCACTGGGCAAGCACAATGATAAGGAGACAGGCAGTAGCTGTTTTGAAAGGAGCCACACAAGCCTTACAAGTGAAACTTTTTTATCTGTTTGAGAAGAGGTCTTCCTTCATATATCCTCCCATGTGTTGCAAAGCAAATAAGGCAGATTTACAACGTATCTAAGTCCTTAAAAGGAGAATGATAGTATATTCTACTGTCAGTTGTCCTATCATATACCTCTCACACACTTAAATTGAAACATGAGGAAAACTGTATAGTATCTGGATAAAGTTTATCAAGAAAGTTCTGAATTTTAAGGAGCTGCCTGTCAAATTCAGACCACATTGAAAGATGTGTTGGGGCCCAAAGCAAAATGTTCTGCTAAATGAAATCCAGTTTGCTTTCCACTAAAGAAAACCTAGCTTTAGTTTATTTGACTCAGTTGACCACACAAATTCCTGGTAATTGCCTTGTCCATAGTGAGATCGCCAAATACAATAAATAATTCCTTTTAAACATTAAAAGACATTGTAGAAGGAAAACCCTGTGAGACTGGCAGCCAAAAATCTATGGTAGATGGTAGGACCCTGACAGACTTTATTGAAAGGTATAAGCTTTTGTGAGGTGCTCGTCAGATACAGGGAGTGGTTAAACTGATGGAAGACTTCAGAAGGAGACGAGGGACAAAGGTGATGAGGGAGAAAGGGCGGTTATGCACATGCACATTAGCATGTTACATATACCTCATCAGCAGTTGTGATGTGCTAAAAGTGCATTATGTTGGTTAATACCTGAGATAGCCAAAGTCCATACACTTCTTGCTGTATAATGCTGGCATAGTTTTATAAAATGGCCACTTGTCCTTATTCTGAGTCCCACTACAAACTTGCGTCCGTGCTTTTGTACAAAGTGTGACCTGTTTGTCCAGCAGAGAATCCAAAGGGGTGTTGCTGGCAGACATCACATTGGAAGAAGAGCACGTGACAGCACCTCTAATCTTGTGAAGTTGTTGGGGCCTGAGAGTATAACTATTGGTGTAAATGTGGGGGCAAAGAAGACATCCGAGTTTCTTGCAGGGCCTGATTTCCACACTAGCATCCTTGTTCTGTTGCTTCTTGTTGCCTGTGAGAATCTGTTTCAGGTTGGGTGGTTGTCTGTATGCAAGTATGTGTCTGCCACTCAGTGCCTGAGAAGGTTTGATATCAGGACTCAGGACAAAGACAGAGCATTTTAATATCCCAGGACACTCAATTACAGATTTCAGAGTTGCCATTTTAGAACAAAAGTGTGCCAGGCTCAGAGAGTGAGATACTGCCAAACTCACATAAAAAACCTTCAGGTCTCAAATTTTACAAACACAATTGGTTTTTAATACATTGCAATGACTAATTGATGAGGTACTTGTAATCTGTCTCACATATAAACTGCATATGCATAACTACCCTTTTCTCATTTTCTTTTCAAATCCATCTGTTTAA